TATCAACGAAAATCCCCGAAGGGTTCAAATAGTTGGCACGAAGCCCAAATATGGCAATCAGCCCAAATCATAATGATAATAAATAAGTTTCAGTCAAATACGCGGTAAAATCATCAACCGAGACGGACCAAATCACAATCCCCAATAGTGCACGACCCCACGCTCGTCATCGAGCGTGTGTCTCACCTCAATATAGCACTACAATGTGCAATCCGGGGTCTCAAACCCTCAGAGCATCATTTACAATCATTACTCTCCTTAAACCGGCTACATCTCTAGCCCGCGACGCCTTTGCCCCTCGAATCGGCCCCCACGCGCGTCGAATCTATCCAAAATCAGAACGAATACGTCACAATTTGCTAAGGGAACAAAGCCCAAGCGAAAACAATAAAAAAAATACCAACGATCCTGAAATTAGCAAAACCCGAGCCCCGGGCCCACTTCTCGACATTCAGAAATTTTTACATCAACGGGTTCCTTATCCCCCCACGAGTTCATACATACTAAAAGTTCTCCAATCCGACCCCAATTGGTCCTCCAAATCCCCAAATCAAAATCCCAAAATTCCAAGCCCTAGTTCTTCCATTTTTAGCTTAAGTTCCATGATTTTCTAGGTAGATTCCACAATAGAAACGAGTTTTAAGTTCAAAAAACTTACCTCCAATCGATTCCCTTTGAATCCCTCTTTAATCTCCACCAAGAAGCTCTCAAAATGATCAACATTGGGTGAAAATAGACCCAAAATCGCGGATGAAATGACTTAAAACATTCTGCCTAGTTCTGCCTTTCCTTCATCGCGATCGCGGGCCGCGATCACGAAGCACAAATTTTTAATTCCCAAAAAAATAACACTACGCGAACGCGACATGGACCCCGTGAACGCGATGCTTCCTCCACCCAAACCTTCGCGAACGCGATAACACCTACGCGAACGCGATGCACTGCTTACCAACCTTCCGCGAACGCGAAGACTTATTTCCTGGCCTTCCTCAATCCTTCTACGCGATCGCGAAGGGAAATTTTTCTGCAACACTGAACCTGCAATTTCTGCAACTTTCAAACTCCAAATATGATCCGATTGACCACGCGAAACTCACCCGAGGCCCCCGGGACCTCAACCAAAAGAACCAACACATCTTAAAACCTTATTCAAACTTGTTCCCATCATCAAAACACCTCAAACAACATCAAACTACTCAAAACACATCGGATTCAAGCCTAAGTTTCTAAAATCTTCCGAAATACGCTTTTGATCAAAAACCCAACCAAATCACATCTGAATGACCTGAAATTTTGCACACATATCCCAAATGACATAACGAAGCTAGTACAACTCTCAGAATTCCATTCCGACCCTCGGATCAAAATCTTGCCTATCAACCAGAAATCGCCAAAATATCAACTTCGCCAATTCAAGCCTAATTCTACTCCGGACTTACAAAACCCATTCCGATCACACTCCTAAGTCACAAATCACCTCCTGAAGCTAATCGAACCATCGGAACTCACATCCGCCCTCTAACCCATAAGTCAACATCCGGTTGACTTTTCCAACTTAAGCTTTCTTAAAAGAGACTAAGTGTCTCAAACCTCACCAAAATCAATCCGGATACAATCCAACCAACCCGATACCTCAAAACGCAGATAAACAAAGCAACAAGAAGTAGAAATGGGGAAAACGGAGCGGTAACTCATGAGACGACTGGCCAGGTCGTCACACTCGATTTTTGGTGTGCTTACAATGAGAAATGCAGCTGCTATTTATAGTAGTAAATGGTCACCCAAGGAACCAATCAAAATGTTTGGTTTGTTGCAAGTTGTAACATGGGCAATGCACAAAACCAATTCCAAATTGGTTTTGCAAATTGTTCTGCAGAGCCAACCTTTTGCCTCTCTTTCAACCAATCACTATTTTTCTTTTTCTTTTTTGTTTACTTATTATTTGAGGACCGGACCCCACAAAATCAGTCATTTTGCCATTATCGATTAGCATTTTGGAGCTCGGTTTTGGGGCGATTTTGGAGGAATTCTTCACGGCTTTGACTTGGATAAGTGTCCTATATCCAAAAGTGAATATATTTCATAAATCCATGGTTATATTCATCATTTATTTCGGATTTAAATGGAAGAAATCTAGATTTTTGCAAAACTTTTCAAGAACAAAAAATTAAGATTTGGAGGTCGAGTTCTTATTGTAATTTGATGAAATTGGTATGGTTGAATTCGTATCGGAATGGGTGTCCGGATTTCGTGAAAATTATGTAGGGTTCTGAGAGGTGGGCCCCGTGTTGACTTTTGGTTGACTTTTTAATGTAAAATTTTAAGTCGATATTTTATTATCCGGAATTATTTTCGATGAATTTTAATGAAGTTATACAATTAATTTGGATAGATTTGAGCTATCCGGAGGTCAATTCCAGCAAGAAAGATATTTTGGAATACCGGCCTAACTTCAAAAAGGTAAGTATCTTGACTAACCTTGTGTGGTAGAATTTCCCCTTAGGCATTGTCTTATGTGGAAATTGAGTGATTGGAAACCATGTACGCGAGGTGACGAGTACGTACTTGGTTTATATGTGCAAATTATATCGGTTAAAATTTGTAGACATCCTTATGTAATAAATTGGAAATGGTTGGCACTTAGTAAATCCTTGATTTGTCATGCTTCATTCTTTGTTTGTCGAGTTTGTATTTATATGATAATTTGGTGTGATTGCCACTTGGATTTTTATGAGAATTCCGTGTGTTTGTTGATTTTATATTTCCTGAAAATAATTATATTATGGATTTTTCCATTTGCAAATAATTAATTAAATAAATTTAAATTGAGGCATTAATATATTTTTCTAAAATTTGGGTTAAGTAAGGCGCTGTCCTATGCTAAGCTATTTTTCCATCCTTGTTGTTTTTGAGGTTTATGTCTTTGGTTTCTTGACTAAGCCTGGGGTGGTGGCAAATTACCACAATTGGGTTAAAATTGTTTTGTGGCAAATTAAGAATAACTTTTCTTTTTTCTTCTGTTTTGTCAGGAATGATTTGACTACAGTATGATCAATCGCTTTGATCTATTTTGAGAAAGATGGGATAATGATACACTTCCATTTCCTATTGGAATCTTCTTTCAGTTTAAAACGACTAGAATTCCGAATCCATAAACTTGAAATGCTGGCTCTGCCTCTTAGTTGATAACAGCAAAAGAGAGACTGTTACACATGTGGTAACAATCACTTCCTGTGCAACCTTAATCCCTCTAACTGTTGTAGTTTTCAGGTGATGCTAATTTCTTCTGCTGTTTCGCATTTCTGTCTTTGCTTCTTGCCTAATCCGGGGTTGGATAGTTAACTTGTCATTTCCTCATGTAATGTTCTTTCAGTTCATCTCTATTCTCTGTTTATTAACCTATTTTCTCCATCAAATCTTGCAGACTGGAAAATAAATCGCCATCATGAAAGCTGTTAAGCTTAGTTCCACAGAGATAAATGGTTCTATCGATTTCTAAGTTGTAGATTCTATTGACTCTCTCCTATCAGCATTATCGTTGTAATTATTCTGACTGTGTGATTTTATGTAACAAGCTAGCAGAATTATATATTTAAGTATAATTTATGGTATTAGTTTAGCATGGAATAAGTACTTCTAAATCACAATTTTTTTTTAGAAGAGGAAATCATTTTGTGCAACTGATTATTGCTGGAACATGTTTTTTCAAAAGGATGCCACCCAAAAGCTAAGTCATGTATACTTTCATGTGTTGCACTGGTTAATCATTTCACCCTATGCTACAACATTGTTTGCTACTGGTGTCGATGATCAGATTCTCCCAAAGTCATTCAAGACTGATCATAACTGAACATATTATTGACTTTTCTTCCTTAACTATTTCATATAACCATCCATCATATGAGCTTTGATACACCAAATGAAAAGGCCTGAGATTGATTAATGTTGAGGCAATCCAGTTCTTTTAGCTTATTCTTTAAATACACTGACATAGTTATAAGTTAATCCATTTTAGCATGTGGACTGCTGTTTATACGAAAAAAACAAGATACCGACTATTATTGGCAATTGAACCTCATAAGTAGCTTTATTATTTCATTTTTCTGTTTGACAAGGAAAATGTGTTAACATAGTTATAAATTGTAAAGACTATCAAATACCATATAAGGATATCACACAACACATTCCCCTCAGCCAATGTGGCGCTGAACATTCGCTGGTTATAATCTCACATTTCCACTCTTCATTTTACTACCGACGAGAGGTCCTCAGTGCCTCACATCGCTTCGATGTCTATGGATCAGCGACGTCTCTTTATTTTTGGTTACTTCTATTGGCTTGTTTGTTAATTCTTTTCCTCTGTTAAAGTCTTGTTGAGCAGTGTGTAGTGTGTCCATTGCCACAGTGAAGCCGAGGAATCATCTTGAGGTCGAGATGAATTTAATGTTAGTAATTAACATTCTTTTGCTCAAATAAAGTCATTATATAAAAAGCATATGCAATAACTGAATAAATATCTTACCAAATCAGAAACCGATGTTTGACAGAATGGAAAGCATTTTCGACGATACAAAGTCATTTCCACATGGAATGTTTTTTCCGTTTTTAGCTGAAGTTTGCGCTCTCTATTAATTGTAGTATTCAATGTCTGCAAGTGAGTCCTTTGCAGTAACAAAAGAGAGATTGAAACAGAGGGATTATTTATTTTCAAATCTTTTGTTATCTTTTTTATAGGCAATAGTTATGCAATTCCTTTGATCTGTTGGCAGCGCGCATAGTTGAAAGGATATTAACTTTGCAATTTTTAACAAGTTTACATTTGTTTCGTTTCCTTAAATAGTCATTTGTGAACCGTCATAATTTGCGAACAGTTATCTACTATAACTAGGGAGATTAAAATAAAATGCCTAAACAAAATATCAACTGCAAACAGCCTTTTATTATTTGTTGAAGGAAAAGTAAGCATAGAATAATACTTTTGAGAATTACAATCTCCTCAATCATATCCATCCCCATATTTGTAACTTTATACACAAGGATTCCCAACAACTATCTAAAAAACGATAATAGGCATGTCTCCACGATCTCTTGAAAAGCAAACAAGAACATACTCCCCAAAAGCTAAGACCAAATCCTATTGACATTACAATGTAGAACCAATCTAGTTCATCTTCATCCCGCTCATCCTTTTCGGTATCAAAATGAGGAATTTGACCACCTAAACTGCAGTTCACCAAGAGTGGAAGCCTGCAAAGCTCATATCCCTGGAAACTCGAGGAATTAAAGCTTTGAAGTTGAGTGCTCACTGGTATTTTTCCTGACAAATTGTTATAAGACAGATTCAGGAAGCTCAAAGTTGACAAACTCGATAAGCTTTGCGGGATTTGACCGGAAAGTTGATTTTCTGAAAGATCAAGGGATTCGAGAACTTTCATGTCGCCAATTCCATTTGGGATCCTACCTGTCAAATGGTTTTTTGAGAAATTACAGAATCTCAACCCTACAAGACTGGTAAAACTTATGGGAATATCTCCAGAGAGATTATTGTTAGATATATCCATGCTTGTAACCAATGCCAATATTTTATCGTACTGGTAAATATTGCATTTAGTTGTCACCATTGCTCTTTCTCTCACAGTTTCTATATATGAACCAAAATACTCAATATCAGCTCCCCCCCCCCCCCCAACTTATTTCCAATGACCATTGCTGTTAAATTGCTAATACACCTTGGTATAGTTCCAAAGAAACTATTGTTTGCAAGGTCTAAGATCTGAAGATCTTTGAGGTAACAAATTTCTGGAGGCAATTCACCATAGAATCTGTTAGAGCTAAGGCTAAGGATTATCAAATCTGAAAGCCTCATTCCCAACCATGGTGGTAACTATCCAACAAATTCGTTCTCAGCCAAATCAACTTTCTCCAACCGTGTACTGTTTGCCAGTGACGAAGGTAATGGACCAGTAAGTCTATTTCTTCAGAAGTCCAAAGAAAACAAATTAATTACCTCCATGGATCTTGGTATGCCTCCAGTCAAGTTATTGTCCCCCAAGTTTAAAAGTAGCAACTCTGGCCAATTCATCCAACAATCAGGAATTTCTCCTGACAAATCATTTCCCTCGAGGTTTAAGAACTCCAATAAGTAGGATACGGTCTCATTTGTTTCACACAAGAAGTGAAATAAACCTCTTGAAAAGCAATTGTTCGAGAGGTCTAGCTCATTCACATAGGGTGAAATCTGCGGCAGCGGACCACTAAAATTGTTGAAACCCAATAACACAAAAGAAAAATTTAAAATATTGAGAGACTGATGAAATCGGGAACAAAACCAAGTTGGAACCTCACCAACAAATTGGTTGTGAGAAAGATCGAGAGACTGAAATCCAGAAGATATGTTCCAAAACCAAGTTGGAACCTCACCTTGTATTCCACTATTTGATATGTCCACACGCTGTATATTCTTTTGAGCCTGGAGCCACATTGGAAACTGAGGACCTATGTTCCAGCCGCTTATAAATATCAATGGCTTGAAAAGGTGGAATTCAGTTTTGACTCACTTTTAAAGTCAGATTATTGTTAGATGCATCGAAAATCGTTAATTGTGTCCAGTTGGTGAAATGACTTTCTGTTACAACACCTTCCAACCTATTGTTAGAGATGTAAAACCAATAAAGCATTGGGAGTTGGCCAAGACTTTCTGGGAGTGTTCCAGTCAGTTTATTGTTTTCTAGTCCCAATAGCGTCAAAGAAGAACTATTTCTCAATCTTGTTGGAAGGAAATTACTCCTACTGTTGAACCATTCAAATACTTCTCCCTCGAATAGATTTTCTTAGAGATCAAGCGAATGTAATTTCGATAACTTTCCAATTACATTTGGTAATTTTCCAGAAAGCATATTTCCATAAAGGTCAATTCTAGTTATTGAGCTCAAATTTGAAATCGCATTTGAAACTACTCCCTCAATATTGTTTCCACTAAGACTAAGTGATTCCAAATCTTTGCATCGATATAACCATTCGGGATAGTGGAGTTGAGCTTGTTGTATGCAAGATCAAGATATCTAAGTTTTGTCACGTTTCCGGCCTCATTCGGCATCGCACCTTCAATACCACTATAATGAAGCTCGAGACTTTCAAGATTATTAAGATCAAACAACCATCTGGGTAAAAGACAATTGAAAGAGTTGGAACCTGCACTGAAGCTCGTGAGAGAAGTAAAGTTAACAGGACCGTCGGGAAAAGGGCCAATTAAATTACTATAACTCAAATCAAGAGAAACAAGACTAGGGAGATTGAAAATCCATTTGAAAATAGAAGAACTAAAGTTGTTCATAAAAAGGTCGAGTGTTTCAAGTGAAGAAAAATTATGATAAAGTAGAGGTGGTATATGTTGAAGACTACAATCATATAAACGAAGATAAGAAGGAAGCATATTAATGACATGTAGCCAGTTAGTTGCATTGCCGAGATCCACACTAGAAATATTAAAGTTCTCAAGATTGAAAAGACTTGGCAGCCACTCAAAGTTATTGATCCTTAGATCATAACTTCCGTTCAAGTCACTACCTATGTGAAGCTCAATCACATGACGAGTCAGATTGTGGCACACAACCCCTTCCCATTCACAACTATAAATAGGGGTCTTCATAACACAGAAAAGGGACCAAGAAGTTATAACAAGAAGCAAGAAAGAGCTCGTGGATCAAACGCTGCAAATTCCTCCACAAGTTTCAAGCTTCAAGCAATCAAGTTCAAGCTCAAGAACGAAGAACAGATCAAGTATTCAAGCTCAAGAATGAAGAACAATTCAAGTATTGAAGATCAAGAACAAAGTCTAATCAAATACAAGGCGTTCAAGATCAAGGCTACTTGTTCGTGATAAAATTCGTGGCAACAATCAAAGTGTTCGCGACGGATAAATCAAATTCAAATTCAAGATCAAGCTCAAAGGCCCTTGAATTTATACTAGAAATGTAGAATCAGAGGATCCATAGAGATTGTAATACTCAAATATTTGAAATAAAATACTACGATTATTGCGATATTTTCGGTCTTGATTTTATTTTCTCGACGCAAATTTATATTCTACACATAGAATAAGACTTTTGAGAATAACAATCTCCTCAATCATATCCATCCCCATATTTGTATCTTTACACACAAGGATTCCCAACAACTATCTAAAAAACGATAATAAGCATGTCTCCATGATCTCTTGAAAAGCAAACAAGAACATACTCCCCAAAAGCTAAGACCAAAACCTATTGACATTGCAATGTAAAACCAATCCAATTCATCTTCATCACTCTCATCTTTTTCGGTATCAACATTAGGATTTTGACCACCTGAACTGCAGTTCGCCAAGAGTGGAAGCCCGCAAAGCTCATTTCCCTGGAAACTCGAGAAATTAAAGCTTTGAAATTGAGTGCTCACTGGTATTTTTCCTGACAAATTATTGTAAGACAGATTCAGGAAGCTCAAAGTTGACAAGCTCGATAAGCTTTGGGGGATTTGACCGGAAAGTTGATTTTCCGAAAGATCAAGGGATTCGAGAACTTTCATGTCGCCAATGCCATTTGGGATCCTACCTGTCAGATGGTTTTTTGAGAAATTACAGAATCTCAATCCTACAAGACTGGTAAAACTTATGGGAATATCTCCAGAGAGATTATTGTTAGACATATCCATGCTTGTAACCAATGCCAATGTTTTATCATACTGGTAAATATTGTCTTTAGTTGTCACTATTGCTCTTTCTCTCACAACATATCCAAGTCCATCAAAATCATACTCAATATCAACTTTCTCCAACTTATCTCCGGCGACCATTGTTGTTAAATTGCTAATACACCTTGGTATGGTTCCAAAGAAACTATTGTTTGCAAGGTCTAAGATTTGAAGCTCTTTGAGGTGACAAATTTCTGGAGGCAATTCACCATAGAATTTGTTAGAGCTAAGGCTAAGGATTATCAAATCTAAGAACTTCATTCCTAACCATGGTGGTAGTTGTCCAACGAATTCGTTCTCAGCTAAATCGATTTTCAGCAACTTTGTACAGTTTGCCAATGATGAAGGTAATGGATCAGTAAGTCTATTTCTTCGTAAGTCCAAAGATTTCAAATTACATAAAACCTCCATGGATCTTGGTATGCCTCCAATCAAATTATTGTCCCCCAAGTTTAAAACCATCAACTGTGGCCAGTTCATCCAACAATCAGGAATTTCTCCTGACAAATCATTTCCCTCGAGGTTCAAGATCTCCAATCTGTAGGATCCGTTCTTATTTGCTTCGCACAAGAAGTGAGATAAACCTCCAGAAAAGGAATTGTTCGAGAGGTCTAGATCAACCACATTGGGTGAAACCTGAGGTAGCGGACCACTGAAATTGTTGGAACCCAATAGCATATAACAATAATTACATGTTGAGATGGTTGGAACCTCGCCAACAAACTGGTTGTGTGAAAGATCGAGAACCTCAAATTGAGAAGATATGTTCCAAAACCAAGTTGGAACCTCACCTTGTATTCCACCATTTGATATGTCCACATGTTGTACATATTTTTGAGTTTGGAACCACATGGGAAATAGAGGACCTATATTCCAGCCGCCTATTGCAATATAAATGACTTGGAAAGGTGGAATCCAGTTGTGACTCACTTTTAAAGTCAGATTATTATCATATGCAAAGAAATACCTTAATTGTGTCCAGTTGGTGAAATGACTTTCTGTTACAAAACCTTCCAACCTATTGTTAGAGATGTCAAACCATTCTAGCATTGAGAGTTGGCCAAGACTTTCTGGGAGTATTCCAGTCAGTTTATTGTTTCCTAGTCTCAATCGCGTCAAAGAAGATCTATTTCTCAATCCCGCTGGAAGGAAATTACTCCTACTGTTGAACAATTCAAATATTTCTCCCTCAAATTGATTTTCAAAGAGAACAAGCGAACCTAATTTCGATAACTTTCCAATTACATTCGGTAATTTTCCAGAAAGCATATTTTCAGAAAGGTCAATGCTAGTTATTGAGCTCAAATTTGTAACCGCATTTGAAACTACCCCCTCAATATTGTTAATACTGAGACTAAGTGACTCCAAATCTTTGCATTGATATAACCAATTCGGGATAGTGGAGTTGAGGTTGTTCCATGTAAGATCAAGATTTTTAAGTTTTGTTACATTTCTGGCCTCACATGGCATCGCACCTTCAATACCACTAGTACGAAGCTCAAGATATTGAAGATTATTAAGATCAAACAACCATCTGGGTAAAAGACAATTGAAAGAGTTTCCACTTGCCCTGAAGGTCGTGAGAGAAGTAAAGTTAACGGGACCTTCGGGAAAAGGGCCAATTAAATTACTATCACTCAAATCAAGAGAAACAAGACTAGGGAGATTGAAAATCCATTTGGGAATAGAAGAACTAAAGTTGTTCATAGAAAGGTCGAGTGTTTCAAGTGAAGAAAAATTATGATAAAGTAGAGGTGGTATATGTTGAAGACTACAATCATATAAACGAAGATCAACAAGAGAAGGAAGCATATTAATGACATGTAGCCAGTTAGTTGCATTGCCGAGATCCACACTAGAAATATTCAAGTTCTCAAGATTGAAAAGACTTGGCAGCCACTCAAAGTTATTGATCCTTAGATCATAACTTCCGTTCAAGTCACTACCTATGTGAAGCTCAATCACATGACGAGTCAGATTGTGGCACACAACTCCTTCCCATTCACAACAGTCTTTTCCAACAATCCAGGAGGAGAGAGAATTTGTGGGATCATATACTTCTTTCTTTAGACTCTCCAACGCTTGCTGTTCATTTTCTCTACAAAAGCCAATACAAACACTAAACTTGGTGTTTGTCAAAATGAAAAAAAAGAAAAAACAGAATGTTATTGCTAACACCTTCATGATGTGCAAAGGTTTAGACTAGGAACTGAAAAGTGTGTATTAAATAGCTGTTTGCTTGTAGATTGTTACTAGGCAAGGCATACATATATATAGCATTTAGAACTGTAGTTGAAGAATACGTTGTCTAGAAAGATATTGACCGTAAAATTCTAGGACTTGTTGATTTTAAAGTATTTTTGTCCTTTTAAAAACTATAAAAAAAGATTATAAAATTGACGGACCTTAATTTCTTGCTAAGTCAAGTCTTCTGCAGAGTAAAATAAGTGTCCTTGTTTGGGGCCATAACACCGTCCTAATTGATCATTTTGTTTAGCTCCTTTTTGTTTGTACTGATCATTTTATAAATTCTTTAATTGGAGGAAAAATTACCTTTTTTTTTAGTAAATAAAATTACCTTTACTTGGAAGTAATTTCTTAGTTAATTCCATGAAAAATAATGATCTCTCAACTCTAAAGAGATTAAAATGTAAAATATTTTCAAACCATCAGATTAGCCATAAACAAATGCCTCTAACTTTTGGATAAAATATATTATAAAAGGTACTCTATCAGTGTCCAAAAACTATGCCT